ACGTTCCTCCGAAACGTCGGTTAACACCATATATACACGGTGCCAAATCCCAGAAGACTGCTTTCTTCATAGTCACCACCGTGAAAGCCTCAAATCTTACAAATATGGATGTCTTGGTGAGGAGGCCGTCGATTTGTTCTGTGATACATAAATAAAAACCGCAGATACATAAAATGCTGTTGCTGGCAAAACCATGGGTTACCGTAGATGATGATGAATTCCTGTATCTCAATTCGCTATTTTTTTTTTCTGTAGATTCATATGGCGCTTCTACGCCTCCTCTAACTGCCCGTCACCCGAAGGAGGTTGGCCACCGGTGCCCTATAAACTATTCTTCCACAGCCTTTGCAGGCTGATTGTGTCAACTCAGGCTCTGCATCCATACTATTTGCATCTCAGGACCTTCAACATTATCTGACCTTTGTCATTAGTTCTATTTACTATGACACTTCGTCAGGTCTCGGCAACTTGTTTCCGCCCCCTCCTTTTCAACAAAAGTTGGGGTTGTTTGGTTCACACAAAATCCATTACACTAACTACATAAGGCGAATCTTCCTGGAGAAGCTAACGATAGCTAAGCTTGTCACGATATTTCCGGCGTCTTATGGTACCCGAAATTTTATTATCGTCGTGTTCACAAGAGCCCATTACGGGACCGGACCAAATATATAGATTTTTATACATTTTGCTTTTCATTACTCTCACTACTCATATCTTTTCTGTCAGGATGAGGTAATATCTAAAGTTTAAAGTTAACTTTCACTGTCATGTTGTTTGTGTACATGGGTCAATAAGTGATCATATAACAAAATTCGATCTATCTGTCTATCTATCTATATATCTATCTACCTACCTATTTATCTGTCTATTTCAGTTTCTTAATCCATACACAGTCGGTAGGACTCCTTGGACGGGGGATCAGCCCGTCGCAAGGCCGCTACCTATACACAGAACAACATAAACACAAAATAAACGTACACAGACATCCATGCCTCGAGTGGCACTCGAACCCACGATTCCAGTGTTCGAGCGAGCGAAGATGGTTCATGCCTCAGGCCGCGCGCCCACTGTGATCGGCATAAAATTCTCTCAGCAAATTAAATTAGATTGGATAAGGCGTAAGTGGTAATTTCTGTTCTTAACCTGAAACTCAAAGACTTGAGAAATAGTAATTTTGTAATTTTAACAGAAAAAAATCATAAAATCTGCAGACATGTCTCCAATTGCACGTGCCTAGTTATAATGACACACTTATTGATATATAACAAATATTTCCCGTGCCTCGTCTTCTTATTTTCAACTTCCCACAAAAATGACCTTAACAAAAGTTGTTTATGAGCAGTTTATACTTTCGGGCATATAACGCCGTGTAGTCTGTTGAAAGTCACTCCTGCCTGGTTCACGTTGGTTTCTTGGTTGGCTTATTCTTCGACCCTGGAGACTGAGGTTCCCCCGAAATGTCCATTTACATTCAACGGACTACACGGCGTTCTAGCCCAGAAGACAGAACTCTTTATAACAGCTGTGAGAACCTCAAATACTACAAAGTTACTTATACTTTACAACCACAGTAGAGAGATCCCACCTCAGATGTTTCTGTCGTTGAAGGCAGTAACTCTAAAATCAGAATACAGCGTCTCGTGACTTCAAAACGCATGATACTGCATTTAATAGAAATTTGCGATTTAATTCATATACAGAAAGCGGAAATATAACCATCGATCTTGATATGACAAGCCACCCAGTGTAAATAATTTAAATGCGCATAATTAAATTATTTGTATGGTCTTACATCTTTCGGCCTTTCGCGGCCATCTTCAGGGGCTCGATAGTAAAAGGAATTTGCTTCACAATTGCTAAGGGTCTTAGTATAATAAGGTATAGAGTTTTAACGACAGAACGGTGTTAAATTGTGGCTGTTACAATATTATTGGTAAAGATATTTTGTTGTTGTTGTTGCAGTAGTAGTAGTAGTAGTAGTGGAAGTAGTAGTACAGAGTGATTCTATATTATTGTCGGGGTTTCCGTTTATAGGACACGGAAACCCCGACAAAAATTATTCATAATCACTGTGTATCTTATGATTTATATGTTTTTATTGCTACTTGTTAACTGTATGCAAGTATCGCAGAGGAATGGTACTTTAACATCTGTCATACGGTGTTATCGGATATTAATAACTAATACTAGAAATGTTTCATACCTGGATGCCCTGTTGGATCCGTACAGTGCCAGTGCATATGTTGGACTCAAGGTTCTTGAGGTGGTGTGGTGCTTGGATTTGTGTAATATTATCAGTATTGATAGGCGCATGCGTAGTGTCGTGTGTTGTGGCTATTTAGAAAAAGAGATGTCGTCTGTTCTTTGTTCTTGTATCAACAAATATGACTTCACACATAAATATATGTAGAAATTCTCTTTAATATTCATGACTTCCATTTTCTGCATAGCTTTACATTTATTTATAGAAAAGTCTAATTTACTGATAGAAGAAAAAGAGCAGACGAGACAAACACCGAAAGATGGAAGGCCATATAAACAATTGGATTTTTTTTTGTAATAAACATGTTTACATTGGATGATTTCTTGTTCCAACATTAATACAGGTGTAAGGGAGAAGATGTCTTATGTTGAAATAAAAACAATTTTAATTACACAATTCTTCTAGAATATACAAAGATATGATGACCGTTATATATTCCAAAGGAACTGTGGAATTAAGATTATTTTTTATGTAGTAAGGAGGTTGGCCTCGATGTAAACAGACGGAAAACAAGGTACATGTCGATGTGTAGTCACCAGGATGCAGGACAAAATCATAAACTATAGAGAGATAAGAGGTCCTGTGAGAAAATGACGAAGCTGAGAAAGACAATAACTTCAAAATTTCTTTCGTGAGGAAACTGAGAGAATATTAAATTCGGGCAATGTTTCCTACCATTCAGTTGAGAACTTTTATTTACTGGCAAATTTTCAAGGACTCTGCTCCATGGGGTTAGTTCAGTGCTTCAGAATATGTAGAAATCTCTGGTAGAGGGGGCGATGTAACATGATTGGATGAATTTCAATAGAATGTAAGTCTACATTAGTACAAAACATATCAGTCATTAGTCTTTCGAAATCCGTAGATCGTTTATATCACTGGGAGCTGAATAACATAAGGTGAAACATGACATATTCCTTTATCTGCATATATTTTCTGTTTTGCAGATGCGCCGACGGCTACAAGGGACAGCGATGTGAGAATAAAGACGTCTTCAACCGTGGGAGTATGTATAGGCCTAAGTTCTGTAACGTAGTAGGCTTTTTATCCTCGTTTTATTGCTAAAGTATACAAAATCTGACGAAAATTGAACAAAAACCAAAGATTATATTAAAATACTCGCGGCGCAAAATGTTTTTGTCGCTGTTTTGTTTTCCTAAAGTTGCTCTCATAACTTACAGTTGCTGCTGGTTGTTTTATATGAAAACAAATTTCCAGTTGAGCCTTTAGCTTTTATATAATTTATTTATTTTTAATTATTAATGACCAAAACTTATACTTCCATCCAACTCACAACAAATTAGGATGATGCAAAAAATTTGTGAACGACGATCGTTGATCGCGCGCGATCAGGTTCAGAAAGAAACGCGACTGAGAACTGTTTGTATAACAAACGACCGTGGAGATTGCGTAACGAACTAAGGATGACCTCCATGTCTACAGAAATCGAAAGAATGGACTTTTGTTCTAAAGTAAAGGCAGTGGAATGATGATTGATGGAGTTCTACGGGAAGATCAAGATACATGACTCAACGGCGGTCAGCTTAGAACATGTCCTCGCTCCACGCTTTGTCGATAGGTACGTAAAAAGAAGACTATTTTTGAAAATATAAAACAGAATCTACCAAAGAGAAAGAAACGTGTAGTTATATTTACCAAATGCATTTATTTTTCTACATTTAATTATATTTGTTTTAATGACTCACAATTATCTCTTTTTCTTAGAAATCTTTCCAAATATTTTCCTACTGTTTTCTATTTGTGACTGACCAAAATTATTTATAATATATTTGTTAAAGTAAGAACTACAGTAGCAAGTTGTTATGTGGCTATATGAAAATTTCCTCTAACAAGAATAATAATCTATTTTCCATTAAATTAAACTGTAGCTTACTAAACGTTCATCGTAGTTTTGTGTACCTCGTAGAAATATGTGTAAAATGAGAACCATCCCATAAATTTGCCTGTATACGTGAAACGCTTATATAGCGTTGCGGTATCATAGGAAATGTTTGTTGATCACTCGTATCCATGGACACGCCTCTTGATTCCACAGCAACGAGTCTGTTTCCAAGAATCTACATCTTTTATTTTCGTATCCCAGGAAACGTGTTCGTCAACTAGTTTCCTAGAAATGGGTCTACATGTGACATTAATAATATATCTTAATATAATTATATGTAAATCATACTGGCATAATTTTAAAATATGTGGCAGGTCCTACATTTGTTGTGAGAAGGTTGAAACGCCAATCGGGAGAAAGTGTAAAACCACTGCATAAAATTATTTATAATTTATTTTGTACAAAACATACTTCCTTTTATTTATATAAAATACAGCTTGCTGCTGCTTATTATAAATTGTACAGTCTCATTTATTTTCCAATTTGGTAAAGGGCAATTTCCCATCCCGTAGGAACTCCCTCCCTCATTAACATGATTCTTAGTGTACCATTCGCTCATTAACTAAACAACTTCAATGTGGAATACTGAAAAATTATACCAGGTACGATTAAAATCCGCCACTTTAAATATGAAGAGGCTCTGTTCAGGCGCACTAGGACATGAGCCTTCTAGGAACACATTTTATTTTATCTAGGCCTAGGTTTATGCATTATAAATTAATATCGATTGTTTATGCACGTTTGTGAAGAGTTTATATTCTGTCAGTATTTAGTTACGTGTTTCTCCTCTCTATAAATAGGATTAAAATAACCTTGAAGTTCCTAACAACTCTATAGCACGTTCTTCTAACCAGCCCCTTCTTATTTCCTCTGTAGGTCAACTGCGAAAGGAAAATATTCAATGTACATGAGATTGTTTCACTTATATCTGTGGTTAATTTAGTGTTAGCAATATATAACATGGCTTGATGTTCATCTAGCGCTGCAATGTTCTGTTCTGAGTAGCTGCTTCTGTATTCTGCACACTAATTTCATTACGGCGCATGCTTACTCTGTTGTAAAGCTTTAATACAGCAGTCTTTTGAATTTTCTTTCAAACCGCACTTTTGCCAGTGTATTAAAGTCAACGTATTAAGCGACATTTTTAAGTCATATCTATTATTTCATGCAAGTTTATGTTCGTACGTTATCACCAAGCTAAATTCAGGTAAGAATTACGGCCAAAGTAATAATGAAGTAGTGGAGTCATATAGTAGTAATTAGAAACTTTATTTGCTGCGTAAATTTTGCCTTACATCTTAATCCCTACAGGCCCGTCATCGAGACTTCTGTGTTAAAGAGGGGATTACTCAATATACATTAATTTCTAGAAGTAACAACTACGTTTATCAATATAAAGTATAAAGGCTGAAACGTCTCCTACGACCAAAATATTTTACAATTAGGACTCACATTTCACACGCATGTTCAAAGTAAGCTTCAGCTTCTAAACGAACCCGACCGCTTTCTTCTACGAAAATCCGACTCAGTCAAAGGCTATGAGGGTATCCTTGTAACAGGCCGTGGAGGTCAAAATGGTTGTGAGATGTTGAGGCTCCCACATTTTCTAGACAATCGGCTCAGAGATGGCGGTAAGGTTGTCAGCCTTAAGCTGCCTTTACCCCCAAGAACATTAAAAGAATATTCCTGGTACTCATTTCTGTTAGAGGATGAGTCGATCCCAGGGCCATAGTGCGGCTGGAAGGATTAGGTCAATCGAAAAAAAAAATCCACCTCATCGGGACTCGAACCCACGACTTTCCGGCTTGTAGCATAGTTCCTCAGCCAACTACGCTACCGCGTGCCCCAAATGATATGAAGGGCTGGTGTACTGAGTTCTCTATTGAAAAAGAAAAAAAGAGACACAAGATTATTCTAATACAGTAATATACGATAGCAAACGCTCAATGAATGCAGATTTCGACTCCCATTCAAGGATGTCCGCCGTACATCCAGATTTCTTTTGTTTCTCTTCAGTTCCTCCACGTGGATACCACATTTCTCCCCCAGTCCCTTGATATATGATATACGTAGGTCATTTCAGAAATAATGCACACAATATTTTGTTTACGTCCATGTTAATTTTTTTAATATCTCTTTACAGTCCTTCAATATAGTCCCCCTGCTTCTCAATGACCTAGTCCCAACGTGTGGGAAGCTTTACTATTCCATCCAGGACATCACCTTTGTTTATCTGTCGAAGGCTCGGGTACTGCAGCAGAAAGCTCTTCCAGAGAGGGAAAACAACGGCCTCGCATAGGCTGTTTCAACTTTGGGAATCAGTCGAAGTCTGGTGGACTCATGTCCGGGCTGTAGGGAGCATGAGGCAAGGCCTCCCAACCGTATTGGAGCAGCTTTTCTGTTACGACATTCCCGATGTGCGGGCGAGCGTTGTCATGGAGACTGATCGTCCCAGCCTCGAGCAACTGAGGTCGGTTTTTGTGCATTTTTCAGCACAGATTTTGCATAAAGTCATGATAATAAACTGCTATGACACTTTTCCCGCACGGAACTCTGTCTGTCATGATGATTCCTTGGTGATCATAAGCAAAGATCATCATTTGTTTGACCTTTGATTGAGATCGTCGAAATTTCTTTGGTCGTTGGGAAGATGGACCTCTCCACTCGTTGGACTGTGATTTGAGCTGTGGATTTCTGCCGGGTTTTTTCCACGTAAAGTTTCGATCTTCATGTACGACCTTTGATCTTCAACAGTCACAATATCCGAGTACCGTGCAGGCTTCATTTCTAACTCACGTTATTTAAGAACAGAGTATATTATAAATGAAACAAAATAATGCGCTTCTTTCTCAAGCCCTGAACTGTAACTGACGTGAGGCTCACTGTTGTTGCATCATCTAATCCGCAGTGTTGCCAACCTGTGCATTACTTATGAAATGACCCATGTATATTACCTGAAAATACATAACCTTACGGCGATAGGAATGTTAAAGAAATATCAAAATTTAATTATTTCTTACAAATACATTTTCTTCCATAATTACAAACGTCACACATAAGGCCTCAGACTCAGGATTCTAAATCCGTCTTAATTAAAGGGCTGATAATATGTGGAGCTACACGCATACCCTTCATACATCTTAAGGGGAGAAGAACGTAATTGAAAACAGGGACTCTTTTAACATTTGTCACTAAAATCAACATTTATTTTATAAGTAAAAATAAAAGGAAATATCACAAGCTATTTCAAATAACCAAATCCCGATATAAATCTGAACTCATTGTTCTTCAGCGTCTTAACACTCAATTAACATAAAATTTGACTGCAAGCAATATATATAGCCATAAAATAAATCAAAAGAGCATGATACATATTTTAAACATTCTCATGCTGTGGCCATAGTCAGAGTGCCACCTGCTTTCACGCTTGTATCTTGCTCGGGTTATTCGACCCTGAAGATGGAGGCGATATACTCCTCCGATACGTCGGTTGACTTTCAACGGACTACAGGGCGCTATATCCCAGAAGATAGTGCTCTCAATAGCTATCGCTGTGAGGACCTCAAATCATACATAAAGCAGAATTAGTTTATGGAACGTTTTACAAAAAAATGTGGTGATGGTACCGTTCCCTTTCAGGACTGTTGTAGTTCTGTTGTCTGGTATTCGGATTCCGTAACTGGTCCAATGAAAGAGAGATGCATTTAGTCAGTTACCTCTTCTTGGCATTAAATCCGAAATCGAGTCTTGATTTCCCTTATTTTAGAACTATTCTAAATTGTACAGGCGGGAGGATTATGAAGATGGGATCCAATTATTGCAACGCCTCTATACAGAAAACCACGTAAAACATTCGACTCGAAATTTCGGTCCCAGTTATCTGATGATCTATGGCTGTTTCCAGCTAGTCAAGAAATACAGACATCATACTTCTAGCATTTTAAGTTACCATTAGTCTTCATGAGCGTGTATTATAAATTAAAATTACTGCAGTTCCCTTTCCATTAAAAGAATAACTTGACCAGCCAAGCGGCTCCACTTCACCAAGTAATCACTAAGCCGTTTGGTTTAATAACTACATTTCTGGAACGAAGATCTGAGCTTCTTCAGACCTGTTAATGAAAAGTCGACTCCAGGAAATTGTATGATTAAGTCTAGAACTATACCAGAATTAAACCCAAACTTTATAATGACTTAGTAAAATTATTCATAAAGCCGCCTATAGTCCAGGGTAATGGTAAGGTAAAAAGGTAAAACTATCTCTGTAACAAACCGTGAAGGCCCACAGGCTTTTGAGACGTCGAGTCTCCTACATTTTCTAGACAATCGGCTCACAGATAGCGGTGATGTTGTCAGCGGTACGAGCCGGCCGCCCTTTACCTCCCACGAAATTTCCTGGTACTCATTTCTGTTAGAGGCTGAGTCGAACTCAGGGCCACAGTGCGGCTGGAAGGATTAGGCCAATTGAAAAAAAAAATCCAATGGCCTCATCGGAAATCGAACCCGCGACCTTCCGGCTTATAACATTGTGCCTCAACCAACTACGCCAGGTTTCTAGTAAAAACATTAGAGTTTGTTCTGTTTCAGACTATTTTAAAACAGAAACATTATAACCTATCATATTGTCTTTTTGTATTAAATTATTTTCACAGTTTTAATATAGTGTCCCCTTGGAACCAAATGTTTTCGTGTTGTGTCTAATGCTGTAAACATTGGTTAAGGTAAAGTGACTATTTCCTTGTTTCAGGAACTTCAGCGTAGTATACTTACGGCCATTTCACTATATCTGTAAACCGCCATTTTGTTATGTACGGATTTGTGACTGCTGTTATTTATCGCAGATGTACGAAAGGGTTCGTGGGCTCTAGATGCCAGTACGCGGATGCTGCCTTTTCACTAGGAAAAATTCCGAGCTAGCGAGAGAGTATGTATGCCTACCATTAAATCGTATTCTATATTAATAAAATTCTATGTAAACTAGCAATATGTAACATGAATTTGTGGCCTCTTTTACTTTCAATATCAGACAGTTCACCTGCCTCTAAAGTTTCTTCAACTGTCGATTAACACATTCCCTTCCCTACACTTATCTATCTTCAACATAAAATTCATTACTTTAAGCAAGTACAATACAGTGGAGACTTGAAACGTTCACGTTTTCAGGGAGAAGAAAATACACGTGTTTGTGAAGATATTTTGGCAATTGTATCAGTTGACCATGATCGAAACGTGGTAAATACAGAACAGAGTGTTACACTTTGCAAATAACTTTCGGCGACTTCCGAATACCAACGTGGTCATTTTACTCATAAGAAGTCCTGTAACTTCGCTTTAAAGTTTCTATCGTGTTGTTTCCATCCGGCAAACTGATCCTCCTGGATAACTTGGTATGGAAGGGCACTCAGCGTTTCGGGTGCCTGTGCACCTCAGCAGATTCACGTTCTAAATCTCTGAAGCACGAATTTCTCCACGCTAGTATTTAAATACACAGTTCATAGGTCACACGAAACACATTGCGTCCTCACTGTAGAGACCAACTGCTCAATGCAATTTATGGACATAATCGCTGCTTATTCTGAGACTAATATGAAGCATATAAATATATTTCTTTGAACAAAATTCAGATTTGTTAACGTTAAAACAAACGGTATATATATAGTAATCACCGTGCTTTAAATGGTTAATCTAAAATATATCTTCACGATAAGGGCTATCCTATAATATCCTGGTGCATATATTTCCAGCTATCTGGTGAAAGGTACTAATACAGATCATTTCCCTAGTCTTTATTAGTGTTACTGGAAAAGACACCTTCTACCAACTGATATGATATAAATGCTGTACTGAGGTAAGTTCAATCTAATTAAATTTTTCAAATATCAATTTTAAACAACAGCAGTCACATTAAGTGTTTCCAGGTGTAAAAACAAATGCCCTGATGGAAAGAAATCTTTCACAAATTCATGAAATCTCTACGCACACAATACGTCATAGTGCCGGTCACGGTAGCCGAGCGGTCTGAGGCATGAACTGTCTTCACTCTCAAGGAAGCCGGGATCGTGGGTTCGAATCCCACATAAGGCATGGGTGTATTGCATGTATGTGTGTTTATTCTATGTTTGTGTTGTCCTGTGTTTAGGTAGAGACCTTGCGTCGAGCTGATCACTCGTCCAAGGAGTCCTACCGTCTTTAAATGATCATGAAAGTGAAAATCAGAAGCCAGGGCCCAAGGGTGGCTGTAGATCCAGTATAAAAAAAGTACGTCTCAGTTACAAATATTTCTGCTCTTCTTCGGCTAATTTGAGGTTTGCTGTCATGATTTCTTCATCATATGTTCAACATAAAATGTTCATTGTATATTCAGAAATGTGTATATTTACTATCTTCGTAACATGTTGGTACATTTCCACAAACACAGTAAAAAGTAATATGAAATATGTAATTATGCCTGCAATCTCGCATTGCGATAAATTTGGCGTCGTTACTCAGAATAACTGAAATAAATTCAATTAAATGAACTATGCCTTAAAGGTACTAAACTGAAACATGTTTGAAAAAACTATAAAATCACTAATAAGAGAAAAGGTAAAGTAGCGCAATTGTGTGTCTTATATATTAGATAAAACGTAGGTGTTCTCGTTATCAAATTATTTTCGTGAAATTTTAGTGATTAGATTACGCGAATTTGTGGTAACTGCAGACTGTGACAAATTCGCAAAGCGAAATTCTGTCCATGGTAAATGTATTTCTCGTATGTTCCTTGTATTTTTGTAATTTCGAAATACTGATCTGGTTGTATCGGACACTGAACCATAAAACTTTAATAAAGTATACTTCAGAGACCACACAAGTTTTCATTTTGGTACAGGAAACAAAACTCATTATATGAACTCAATCCGGTGCCCAGGTTAAACAGGTTATAGTAGATGGTAGGGAGAACATGTTCCAAAAATCTGTATTTTTATCTCTTACCTTGATTCTTCCCCCGCAGTCTGAGAAGGTATGCCCAGAAGGATCTGTAAACAGAAAATTTAGAATCATGCAAGTGCCATGGAATATGCAATTTGAATTTAAATTTAAATGGTTTTATTCCGTCGTGTTAAGTAGATATAAATATAGGTCAGAAGCTCGGTCAAACAAGAACTATTTGTAAAAATTCAAAAGGTTACAAATTTCTCCGTTCAACTTACGCCGTTAACAGATTTTTCAATAAACTGTGTAAGACAGGAAGTTTTACACGTTACTGAAACAACTCCCAAGCACCGTATCACTAACACAACCACTACAAGACAGTAGAGGGGAACAGCACAACACTGTAGCCTGCAGCTAGCTCGCAGCCAGTTCTCAAGTATGGCGTGATTAACACCCCAGGGCCTCTGCATAATCCCCCCCCTCCATTCTGATATTTCTCCGATTTTACATACGTTATATACAATCAGCCTTAAGAGACATCTTTCCTTCTTGCTGTTAGAATTCCTCGGTCCACAGGCAAGACTGCTCAATAACATGGAAAACTTATTCTATACACAGTCTGCTGAAAAGATCAAGTGACCGCATAAAACTGACGCTGAACCTTGTAACCTTTCGAAATTTTACCCTCAAAGTTGTTCTTTAAGTAAGCTTTTAACACACAGAGTGGACGCCGCTTCTTATGATCGCTTCGAGACATAGCTTAATTGCTAACATTAAACGATGAAATAAGAATGCAGCTGTTCAGTTGTTTATTTATGCGGAGCGGAAATGTATACATAAAAATGGAGGTGGACAGAAAGAGTTCTTTAAAATGAAACAATATTAAATTCCTTTAAGTTGACTGTCCTCTATTTCTTCGAGAAAGACCTTAATAAGAATTAAATTCGTAATCTTTCTGGAAATCCGTATACACCATTAAAAACAAGCAAAGAAAATATTAAAATAACGAATTAGAAAAATTATTTTAAATTTGATTGTCTTTTCTGAGAATGTGATTAATAAAACGTTTAAATTCTCATCAGAGCTCAAGAACACGCCGGGATTTTACCTAAGCACTTAGAACGCACATGAGTGAGGACCGCGATAAGGCAATAAAACCATAACAAAAACCGAAGCGCTAGTTACAATAAACGTCATTTTTTCTATGTTAGAATGCGTCTGACCGCGACTTAATAAAAGTGATAACATTATCCGCGATTACAGTACGCGGCATCCATTGTATATTACACATACATTTTGAAGTTCGGGGATATTCGAGACTCGGAATAAAATAACAAGCAAGCTAACTAACTAACTAACTAACTAACTAACTAACTAACTAACTTAGCGGCCTCCATAGTCTAGGGGTAACGTTCCCACCTCATGACTCAAGGTACGCGGGTTCAAACCCGGCGGAGGTCGTGGAATTTTTAAGGGCGGGAAAATTCAGGGAACAAGTCCTCCGGGAGGGACTTTAAGCCGTGGGTCCCGTGTCGTAGATTTACGGCACGTAAATGATCCCCATGTCTCTAGGAGACCTCTGAGCAAAATGGGGCAACAAGTTTCCCGCCCAAGTAGTTTCCAATGCCTCTGGTAGATGGGGGAAATATCAGGTACCGAAGGCCGACCTCGTTGGCTGAACGGGGCTGATAGTACGCACCAGTACCGGTAGGGTATGGCGACAGTGAAAATTAAAGGGGGACGCACAATGGACCAATAACTGGTCTAAGTGCATGGGGAAACCCACCCCCTCTATTAATAATAATAATAACTAACTAACTAGCTAACTTCATGGAGCTGAGCCCTTCTTGAAAAGTCGCCAATTGTGCAGCTACTCAAGACCCAACATTTTATGGAACCCGAAGGTTCATTACCGTGTTCACAAGAGCCCTCCAGTCCACACCACACAATCCAATATCTTTAAGATCCATTTTTACAAAATAACAAGCAAAACATATCTTATTGTGGGAATTGTCAAAATTTGTTCGTTGTTCGCTGTTCCTCCCTTAAGAGCCGCAATGCTATGAAACCGTGAAGGCTGAAATACACTGAAGTGTATCAGCAATGTCAAGGTATGAATTTTATTTATCTGTACGTAACTGCAGGGTTGAACCTGGGGCCTCTCATTCGTGGAATGCTCTATCAGAAATGGTCTCGCTACATATGGAAGCATGCCACTTCAGTGTGGACGGTACTAACATCTCAATATTGTAGAGTAAGTAGATCTCAGAAGCCAACTCAAAAAGCGAAAGATGCACCGCCCAGACAGAGGGACACGATGAATCCATAAGCCGTCTTATGTTACAAGTCTAGAACACACTTCTCCCTTCTAAAATTTATCAGGGAGATTCTGATCATTAGAGCGGTATCACAGACTGTAAGAGGTTCCTGGTTCCATACCTGACTTGAGGGACAATTTTTCACTTAAGAAAACAAGGATACACCATCACTGGACCATTCTTGTTACGCGAATGCCAGCGTCAAGGTAAGCTATCTGCAAACATTAAGACTTTTACACTACTAATAATGTCCCAAAAGTGCGAATGTGCTATTATTTCTTCTGCATTAGAAATACAGGGGACTGGAAAAAAAAATGTGCAGTAGTGCAGGTTTCAGCTAAGTGGGCACGTCAGTGTTTCTGAAACTGCATGCCGCGAGAAAATTGTGCTGTATATAAAACTAGACTTAAATCTCGGTGCATTCAGTTGCACAGCTATTCGAAGTATTTATGTTTTCAAACACTTCTGCAAGACGTACCTGGTGATTCTAAATTATTGTCGGGGTTTCCGTTTAAAAGCCACAGAAACCCCGATAGTAATTTAAAATCACCTTGTATATTCTTTAAATGCAATTAGAATGTCAATTGAAATAGATTGGATTATGTGAACGCAAAATACAGTCGCATTTACTCATGGCATTTCCAATTCACATTACAGCAGAAGCAAATGATGTTCAAAGGGTCTTGAAAGTTGTGCTTTTTGGAACGGATTATATTTCTTGAATTGATCACTCATATATATGAGACATGGGGTTTTCACGGCAATTAAAATTGATATGACGGTCTTTTGATACGTGAGGAAAACGCTTCGCAGTATCATGCTGTCTTCTTCTTGTATCCGGAAGATGAAGGCAGCAGGTTCCTCCGAAACGTTGGCAACCATCTACAAGACTGCGGCGTCATAACGCAGAAGACCAGAGTGTAGAAACAAAGTTTGAATGCGTCCCCTTGAAGTAAGAAGGCTACGGCGTATCGCTATTTGGACTGAAGAAGTTACAGCTTGGAAAAGAGCTCGGTTCCGGAAAGCCATACGAATTACTCTTCCACTGTGTTTTCAGTGATGGTTTGGTTTACACGAAATGTTATCTGCCATGTCAATTAGTAAAGTAACTGACTCCTGACTCATGACCAACTGTCGAAATCAGCAATGACAGAAGGAATTAATTTTCTAAACTTGCCTACATAACACCGGAAGTCGTTATCTTATACGATATGTAACAAAACAACAACAAACGATTCACGTAAAGGTAAAAAGAGGTAAAGCTATCCTTGTACCAGGCCGTGAAGGCCCATAGGGTTGTGAGACGTGGAGATTCTCACAATGTCTAGACAATCGGCTCACAGACAGCGGTAAGGCTATCAGGCTTACGCGCCGACCTCCCTTTCACCCCCCCCCTGGAAAATTCCGCGTACTCATTTCTGTTAGAAGCTATGTAGACCACAGGGCTATAGTGCGGCTGGAAAGATTAGGTAATTGAATAATCCAATGACTTCATCGGGATTCGATCCCACGACCTTCCGGCTTGTATCATAGTGCCTCAACTAACTATGCTACCGCGTGCCCCAAGTATAAACATTAATAACACAGTATTATATCCTCGATCTTTAACCCCGGGGCTCATCCCGTTACAGGGAGAGGAAATTACAGTAATGCTAACCAATTATTCGTCAATCACAGTTGCCGCACCGTCTAAAGCATGAAATGTCTTCGCTCGCTTGAACACTGGGATCGTGGGTTCGAATCCTACTTATGGCATGGATGTTTGTCTGCATTTTTCTACTTGTGTGTAGGTAGCGGCCTTGCGACTGGCTGATCACTAGTCCAAGGAGGCCTACCGGTTGTCTAATATTAAGAAACTGAAGTGAAACGAAACGTTTCACGGATGTGCTATGCTCCAAGTGGGAGGAGCAGGAATAAAGATTACGATAGATTAGATTAAGCAGGTATAGAGAGACAGACATACAGACAGATAGATACTTGGTTATTAGCTTTACCATGTGTAAATACTTATCCAACATTTGAATTATAGATTGTGATTGACAGCATGTAGTCTCAGGTGGTTACCAAAGTGCTGGAGGAAGCCGATGCCTCCATCTTGAGGACAGACTTCCTTCTGGTTCAGTAAGCTCCTCTCCGAAACATTCGCAACCTGAGAATATGCATTACCATAATCCAGAAGTTCATAATCTCAACTTCTCAACCGGGACAACCTCAAATCTCATATGAAGTTGTGTTCCTTCCATTCAGTTTTTTACTGTTGTAATGTGAAAGCCCCACAAGGGATTTTGGTCTTAAGGAACACTGACTAGGTCCTCTGTATATGCCAGACTTTATTTATACAAGCGATTTAATTTTCTGAGAGTAATTCTACAAAATATTACTGATGTCCTTTACTAACATTCATTCTTTGCTAATTCTTTTGCAGCCACCGGAGAGCTACACCACCCGCCCCCTCCCTAACAAAGATCTTCTCTCTTCCCTCCGATCTAATTTCTAATTCCATTTTCTTATGTATCTGTCCTTTATTCTGATACAGTACCTACTGTACTGCCTTCTTCTGCCTTCTTCCATTTTTTTCAATCAACAGACAGAACGTCTTAGATTACTTTTAAGAGGTGAGATTGCTACTTTTAATATCAATGTAATCCCAAAGGCATGCAAGGGAATATGGGCCCCAAACCTTCTACGGAACAGCCAGAAACGTACACAGTAAAAAAGTATGGGAGTCAGTAGATAAAAACCACTTACGAGGCTACATGGTACCCTTAACCAGAAGAAAATGGTAA